CCTGGTTGGTAACACCAACCGGGACTAAAGGAAATTTTATGAATTTTTTTTTGAATTTTTTTAGATTTTTTTTATTTTCAAATTTCTGAATTATTTTAACCTCTAATCTGTAATCACCACCCCTCATCACTGCTCAATTTATCCTCTACTCTCTAATCACCCCTCATCATTCCAAATCATCTAACTTCCCGAACGGTCACCAATCCTCCCACTCCCCTAGCCTGAGCACGCTTAACTTCTAGGCTCTATTCTCCCTCGTTTCCAAGTCTGCACTTGTTGTTTTCCTGACAATAGTAAGATGTCAATCCTATTAACCTTCAGGAATTTTGCTTGAGCATGAAGTGACAAATTTCACTGTTTGAGTTTGAAACTATTGTTTTAAAAAACAATAATTATTTAGTAACACTAATATTTCTTGAATAATTAGTTTGAACATTGTTTGACCACAGTTTGACCACAGTTTGACCAGATTTGACCAAAATTCAAAATAACTGAAATAATTATTTAGTACACTAATATTCTAGAATAATTAGTTTGACAATTGTTTGACCACAGTTTGAATTGTTTTCATTTTTTTCCACTCTAGATCTAAAAAGGCCCGTAACTTTTTTCTGTTAGGTTTTTGAGGATTTTGAAAATGTTTAACAGGGTTCCCCCGGTTAAATTTGGATGTAACTTTTCAAGTAGATGATTTTTCATATAAAAAACTTTTTCATCCGAGTTAGTATGCAAAAGCTATGCCCATTTTAACAAATTCTAGAGAGATTTTGCAAATAAAGTCGAAATTCATATTTGCAAATTTTCCCAACAACTAGACCACATATCACATGGGAAACTTATTTTCTTTTATTTTTTGACATTTTCATCATTTTCTTTTATTTTTTTAAAACTGAAAAGGCGATCCACGGGGGGTAGAGTTTGGAAATGGGACCTTTAGTACCGGTTCGTGCCATGAACCGGTACTAATGCCTCAAACCCCATTAATACCGGTTGGTGGCTCGAATCGGGACTAAAGGTCTAACCTTTAGTACCGGTTGGTGCCACGACCCGGTACTAATGGGTATCGCACCCTTTAGTCCCGGTTCGTGGCACCAACTGGGACTAAAAGGTCCAGACGAACCGGAACAAATGGCCCACGTGGCCCCTGGGCTTACGAACCGGGACCCATTAGTCCCGGTTCTAGGGACTAATGGATTAACCCGGCCTGGACTAAAGCCCTCTTTTCTACTAGTGCGAGTGAAGTTTATTGGGTACTCGCCTTAAGCTAGCACCATCCCGGAGTCGTTAGTGGACGCCGCGTGGCAGTTAAATCTGTCGTGTGTTTAAGGTAAGCCGAGTACTTTTTCACGGCCTCACAGCTGATTACGATGTCAGCCGTGTTATATTACATAAGCCAAATGTCTTCTGCGTGGACACACAACTTACATGGAAGTACAACTTACATGGAAGTGAGTCGAGTGTCGCCATGTAGCCGTGTGTCGTGTTAGCCTCACTCCGTTTACATGCCACTAAGCGTTGAACCCGTGTTTTGACTCGGCTTACATGCCACTAAGCGTTAAACCCGTGTTTTGACACTCGGTACGACCTCAGTGAAACTGTGGGAAGATGGGTAGGTGGGGCCTCTCAACCAAGACATCGCGGTTGGCGAGTGGGGACTCTAGTGAACTCTAGCATGGGTGTGGCAGATTACTGGCGTGAAGCCGGACCTCCGTATGACTTGATACTCGGCGACCTGTAGTGTATGTTGATTGTTCATCTCCATTTGTAATATAAATAATTTTAACTAATTTGATTTGCGTGTTCACACCGTGCATGTCATTTTCCAATAAGCACTAGTGCAGAAAAAGCTAGTGCCGGCGTTTTAAAAACCACATTCGTGGTGTGAGGGGTCGACGCCACCAAATTCGTGGTGTGAGGGGTCGACATTCATGGTGTCATTGTTAACAAATACCGATGATGTGGGGCCCCACGTCATCGGTATTTTACATATTGGTGGCATGGCACTATTCACTCACGCCACCACTTTGTGAAATAGCAATGATCGTGCACACAGATACCACGTCACCACTATACACTAGTAGTAGCAATGTGAGCATATAGCCACCGACGCCACCACTAAATATTTATGAATTTAAAAAAAAATGCAATTCATCCATGAATCCAAATATTTATATGTTCATCCACATGTTCAAATCAGTTATAAATTCATACATTCATCCGTATATATCAGTTCTACGATGTGGTCGTCATCGTCGCCGTTGTAGCCCCGTGTTGATGTTATCGTTGCCGTCGTCATCGCCATCGCAGCCCCATGTCGATACCACTTGTTGAGGAGATCATCGCGCAGCCCCGCGTCGATTTCGTCGCCGCCGCAGGAACTTACTTTCAATGGAAATGTAGCAATAACTATTCGGTAAAGCACAAACTGCACACTTATCTTTTTTTATCTATCTTTGAACATTCATTTTCCAGACAAATCACAACAATTGATTGCAAGTAACAAAAACAAGCAAGCAATATTATCTAGCAAGCAAGCATAATTAAGAGTTCACATAAATGAAGCTCTGCTAGATCACTGTCAGACATCATGCATTTGTGAACTAACTTTTTTTTCATATAAGATTGTGTAGTATTCAGATACCATTTTAATTGTATTTTCATCCAACTATTATTATTGGAAATAAATATAAAGATGTTTCAGGTTTTAGTTTGGGCCCTAACACAAGGCAATCAGTTAAATGGACGGCATTTCAGAATGTTTCTTTTTTGTTTGAAAATAGTGTGTTTACTGTATAATGGTTCTATCCTAGTTATGTCAAACTTCCAAATGGTGAATACACACAGATTAAACATAAGGTAAAGCAGCGGCTAAGGATGTTGTTGATTCAAATTTCTGGATGGATGTGTCTTACGAAATTCAATTGGCCAGCTGCAGTTTAGGATAATTGGTAATATATCTATACACCAGCAGCTGGCCAATCTCTTCACTGAAAGCTCCATCGATCAGCTAAATCAATAAGTTTATTAATTAGGACATCCATCAAGTCTGTCTAGGCCAGTAGGTAAGTTAGTTAAGATGCATGCAAACAGTAGGGAAATTTAAGCAGTATAAGATGGGAAATCTAAGCCCATTACAAGACTTGCACGCAAGGAAACATTATGTGAGCTGCGCTACAACCACACTGCAGGGAAACATTAAGCAGTCTTAAGTTTTAGAGCTTCTTCATAGTTTTATCTCTGAATTTCATTCGTAAATCTTGTCCAAATCCGCTTTTGGGGAGTCACAAAAAGACATCTAGTACTTCAAAGAAGGAATACTCTTCCAGTCTAAATTCTGCTACTTACATCAATTACAACATATATCTGCAAGCACTATCCAGGTTATGTTTTCTGCACTGATATAATGCATCACTCATTTATTTTATATGAAGTAAATTCTCAAAGTTGACCTTTATTTGCAAAACTAGACGAACTTGTTTGTGAAGTTAACTTACGATGAAACATGTATTTGCAGTTCAAGACTAGAAAATTTACTCACGCACCCTCAGCTTAACTGTTAGTCTAACTAGCCAAACACAAACTTCTTCGGTGGAGACCTATACCTTGGAGACGTGCCAACAGACGAGGGGTTGTAGCAGGGTGCAACCTCCAGCATGATGCCGCCTAGCTCCTTCACCCGGCTGTTCATCACGGCATCTCTCCCGACTCTGATCAGATCGAAATTCTATCAGATCAGATCGAATCAACAACAAGAAAAGAAAGGGAAAGTTCGGAGAGGCGAAGAATATGGCCAGCCACGAGATGGCTGACAACGGGAGGGGAGGGCGCTGGTAAAGGCGGAGGAGGAGCCCTTATCTCCGGCGAGCCCAGCGGGTCGACCACCACCACCGGGGGCGGTGGCGCGTTTACGTTCTCCCCCCTGCACCACCCCGCCAAGAGCCGAGGAGGTGTATGAGGAGAACGGGTGGATCTCCGAGGAGAGCACTGCGGTGGCGGGAGTGGCCGGAGTTTACCGGAATCGTTGGTCGGCAGCGGCGGCAATTTGAGGATCACGTGGAGACAGAGATGGGCGTTTGGGGATCGTGGGCAGCGGCGGAGTTGACCGGAAGCAGAGGAGATTAGGATTGGACATAATTTTATCCGTGGCGTGTACAAAAACTAACGCCATAAATACTTCCTCCGTTTCTTTTTAGTCTGCATATAAAATTTAATCAAAATCAAACTTGGTTAACCTTTGGCTAATTTTATAGAAAAAATTATCAAGATTCACAATATGATATCAATATTGTTAGATGCCTCCAGGTCAACTTTCCTCTATTTAGTGATGACAATTCACAAGCAATTTATAGCAGAAGTAACTTGTATTGAGTGTTAATGTACGGACCGAAATGATGTACATTATGTTCGTGGTTGATATATCTTTGATTGTAGGACCAAAAATGTACGCATACGTGGTACGCTGAGACACGCCCCAACATCTAGTTGTATATACATTTCCCTCGAATACAATACTAGCGGCTATAACACTACTCTTGAGAACAAAATTATATATACCAGTAGTACATGATATGTGATGATGTTTAGCTGCAGGCACGATGGAACTCCTGCAAAGTTTTTGCTCTAACAATCTGGGAAGTATTCACGAAAGCTTAATTTACCAAATTGAGTGTTACATGCACGGTACATGAGTTTTCGTTCTAGAATACAAAGTGATAACACACCCGTTTAGTTACCTCATAGGTACATGTTTTCTTTACAGAAGTAGAATAATACTACATATGGAGTTATATAAGCAGTACATTAAGGGTAAGCACTCACACAATGAAAATTGGGGTATAAAAAATAACCGTGGACCGGGTCTAGTCATAGTCCCTCCTCAAGTGAGCTGAGAGGGGAAGTTATTTTGGTTGGTCACTCGGAAGCTAGGTGAGGCTCTCGACATACATATGTGGTAGGGGAAATGGCCTGTCTTCTGGTGTGTCCGGTTAGTCATTCTTCGGTTAGGGGTAACCACCGGTTGTGCTAGCCGCCGCCATCTCCGGCTGAGCAGTCTTTGGTGCAGCATAAGTGTCAGTTGTGCTAGCTGCCGGCGTCTCCGGCTGAGCATTCTTCGGTGCAGTGTAACTATCGGATGTGACGGTCGCCGCGGTCACCTCCTTCTTCGCCTCCTCCTTCTTCGCCTCCTCCTTTGGCTTGGTGTATTTATTAGGTTTCATAGCCATGACCTCCTCCTTTGGCTTCTCCTTCTTGGGTGTATCTACTTTTTCTTTTGGTTTCTTCTCCGCACCAGTGTATCCAGAGGCGTCATTCTTTCCTTTGGACTTCTTCTCATTTTTACTTTTGGGTTTCTTCTCGATGGTGGAAGGCTGGGAGGGCTCACTCTTTCTTTTGGATTTCTTCACGGAGGCAACTTCAGATTTCTTCTCCTTAGCAGCCTTGGTGCCACCTTCGGGTTTCTTCTCCTTGCCAGCATAGCCAGAGGCACTTACTGGTTTCTTCTCTGCATCAACATTGTTGGGGCTGACATCAGGTTTCTTCTTAGCACTGTCATAGCCAGCGACGACTTCAGGTTTCGTCTTTGCGCTAGAGGAGACGTCTGTTCCGGAGACGGCATCTGGTTTCTTCTCCACATCAGTGGAGATTGCTTCGGGTTTCTTCTCAACACTGGCCGAGACAGCTTCGGGTTTCTTCTCAATACCGGCGGTGTATCCGCCGGTAGCTTCAGATTTCTTCACTCCACCGCCATAGTCAAGATCGCCATGGGCCAATGCTAGGGGGCTGGTGGAGGCAACAACGAGGAAGAGCAGAAGGGCTAGAGCGAGCTGGGCCCTCATGATAATCAATCAACCCGACGAACAGTGGTGGTGCGATGAAATGTCTGCAGGAGGAACTCGGGAGGTATTTCAATGGTGAGGGAGAGGGAGCTAGGGAAGGAGAAGAGAGATGGTGCTGGTGGGTCTTGTTCGTTTTTCCTAAAACCGTAGCCGCTAGTTTTGTCCTGTAAAACCATGCGCCCGCCGTGAAGAAAGGAGCCAAAAGATAAGGCGGTAACTTTACTAAATAAGGTCTAATCCATGTTTTATTTACATCTATTCTGGGTGATGTTAACAAAATAGACAGCATGCATGCATGCAACTTCCTTTTCCTTTTTCTTTTTTTCTTTTTTTGAGAGACTTGGTTTACTCAATAACATGTGGGCGCTCACCCGAGCTATCGACCATTGTAGATGCAAATACGATTACTCATCTAGCAATTCACACATGTTGGAAAAACTTGCTTTCATGCATCTAAAAAAATTACCATGTTATAGCCATCTTTGCAATGGACCATAGGATATTATTGCGGACTACAACAACAGTGGCATGTGCTCCTCAATACGCCATTGATCTCCCATTCCTGACAAGAACAAACATCGGTCAATGCTCATGATTCCACTGCTTTTGTCGCAACACCGCCACACGGCTTGCATAGCACAATGCAGTCGCAGCACTATCTTCCCCAGTGCTGCCACAATTAAACTAGATAGACGAAGTTTAGTGTTCATTAGATTCGACAGAAAATCATAAAACTTGCGTGTGGCAGTTAAAAAGGAGAGCAAGCGTTAGTTTCCATGGACGAAACTAGTCGTGACAAAGCCTGTCAGCCATCTCAACTCCTTCTCTGCGGTGGTGTTATGTTTGGGAAATTCAAGTCACTTGTTCCAGGATCCAGACATGAAAAACAACAACTAGTATGGGACTGCGGGAGCTGGACTCGCCATTTTTCTTGAAAATTTGCCTCATCCTCCTCTAATCTGTATGTAACATTCACGAAAATACATTTCAGTTATATGTGAAGCAGAATATTCTTGCCTACACGTCTACACCTACTCAATATATGAGTTCCGCTTCGGTACAACCCCCTACACAAAACGTATAAAGGGTAATATGGACTTTTGACATGTTATACCCACTTTGTACTTGTATACATACGCACTGCATAACCCCGACTAGGCCGGCCCAAGAAGGTACCCGTAGTAGCGCTCGCACCTACTGTGGCGATATGATCGCTAAAAAAAGAATTAAGAGTGACCTCGCTTGGAATTGATCTCTGCACCTCCACCTTAGAGAGAGCATCTGCTTACCAATCAACCTAACAGACATTAGTTGCTATTAAAGAGCGTACCCCTTTAAGAACTAACTACAACGTAGAATCCGGGAAGTTTATGGAATTTTTTTATCTTTTCTTGGAAATTGTCAATAAATTTTTTATAAAGCGAGTAATGTTTGAAAATCCAGCAATTGTTTCAAAGACTCTAACAAACTTTGAATAATAAAAAAATTAAAACACTGCCTTTTTTGACGGGAACCATTTTTTAAAATCCTAAATATTTTATGAAGAAACGCGGACATTTTTTAAACTTAGAGACATGTTAATGGGAACATTTTGGAAATTCTGAACAATTTTTAAAAACATGAACATTATAAGTAATTCCCAAACATTTCTCGAGTTTTTAAAAATTGAAAACAGGAACATTTTTAACATTCTAAACAGTTTTCAAAAAACAATAACCTTTTCTGAAATTCTCGTATATTTTTGGAATTTACGGAAAAATATGAAAACATGAGCATTTTTTAATTCTGGAAAAATCTCAATCATTTTGGGAAACCGCAAACAATTTTTAGAAAACCCGAACATTTTTTGAAAGTTCCAAACATTACGGGAAAACATGAACATTATTAGAGTTTTGAGAAAAAAATTGTAAACAGCAAGAATTTTAACATTCAGAACAATTTCTAGAAACAAAGAACATTGTTGAAAATCCTGTACATTTTTTGAATTTATAAAAACAATTGAAAAAACACTTTTAAAAATGCTAAACAACCTTTTGAAATCATGAATAAATTATGAATTTTCCAAAAAGACATTGAAATCAGAAATATTTGTGAAAAAGGTAAATAAATTTGAAAAGAAAACAAGAAATGAAAAAGGAAACATGAAAGCAATGAAAAAGTTAGAAGGGTCCGTATGAGAGCATGTTTTTTTGGCATCGTCAAATAACCTCAATTTTTTGGTGAGCTTATATGACCAATTCAAGGAACCATGGCAAGTTATTTGAGTTTTCGATATTTTTTGCATTTTCTGGAGTTTTCTGGGTGAACAATGCCTGATAAATGCCAGACGTGACACAAGTTGCATACGATGTCAGAAATTGTTCGAATCTGACATGGATGACTACCATGAGCATGCCCACCTGATGGCAAAAGTTATGTCATTTCATGCATGTCCATATGAGAGTACAGGGACATTTTGTGAAATTCCAGATCATTTTTTTAACTTTGTATTGAAAAAAAATCTGGTATTAAAAAGAAAATTTCAAATTGTTGAACAGGTTTCAAAAAGAATAATAAAGTTCTAGAAGGAGAAATTTAATTAACGAAAAAGAGAAGAATAACAAAAAAAATTAGAGAAGAAAAAAATGCTTAGGCTCTAGAAAATAAAAAAAAGTTTTCAAAAAATATTCGCAAATATGAAAAAAATGCTAGCAAATTTGAAAAAGTGTTCATATCTTCACCATGTGCACGCCCACCCGTTAACCAAAGTTGATGCCCTTTTTTGAATGTCCAAAAAAATCATGTTCAACCTATGGTGTCCAGATAGGCGAAAGGGCTCCACTAAGAGCACGTTGTTTCTCAACATCCGTGAAATCACTTCAATTTGTTTACATTGACTTGTATGGCCAATTCAAGGCACCATGCCAAGTTGTTTTGATTTTCTACAAATTTTGTAATTTCTGGATTTTCCTTAGTAAAAAAAGGGCGATAAATGACCGGATGTGACGCAACTTGCATATGGTGTCGGTAATAATTCAAACCTGGGATGAATGCCTACCATGAGCATGCCCACCTGCTTGTAAAAGTTGGGGTCACTTCATCCATGTCCGAAAATAGACCATGTTCAACGGAGGTGCTCGGGTAGTCAAGAAGGGTCCGTATGAGAGCACAATATTTCCCCATAAGCTTAAATGGCCAATTCAAGGCACAATGCCAAGTTGCTTGAGGTTTTAACAATTCTTGAGTTTTCTCGATGAAAAATGGCTGATACATGCTCGGGCGTGACGCAACTTGCATATAGTGTCAAAATTCGTTCAAACCATGGGCATGCCCACCTACTGGCAATAGTTGGATCATTTCATGCATGTCCAAAAAATATACCATGTTCAACGGGGGTTGTTCGGGTAGGCAAGATGGGTCCGTATGAGAGCTCGTTTTTATTGGCATCGTGAAATGACCCAAAAAAATTCATGAGTTTATATAACCAACTCAAGGCACCATGCCAAGTTGTTTGAGTTTTTGATTTTTTTTTTGCAATTTATGGAGTTTTCTCGATGACAAATGGACGACAAATGGCCGAACGTGACGCAACTTGTGTATGGTGTCGGAAATCGTTTAAACTTGGCATGATTGCATACCATGGGCATGCCTACCTGCTAGGAAAAGCTGGGGGTCATTACATGCATTTCTAAAAATATATCATGTTCAATGGAGGGTGTTCCGGGTAGGCCACATGGGGTCCGTATGAGAGTACTTTTTTTTGGCATCTTCAAATGACCCCAAATTTTTTCATGAGCTTTTATGGCCAATTCAAGGCACCATCCCAAATTGTTTGGGTTTTCGACAATTCTTGCATTTTTGGATTTTTCTCGGTGAAAATGACCGATAAATGACCAGACATCACGCAACTTGCATAAGGTGTCAGAATCGTTCAAACCTAATATGCAGAGTAAATGTTTGTATTTTTCTATAAATTTGGCCAAACTTTATGAAGTTTGACTTTAGTCAACTCTAATATAGAGAGTAAATAAAAACGGACGAGATATAGCGAATGGTGAGAACATAAATAAATACAGATAGTTTAAAAAAAAATAATTAGGCTGCTGCATTTAAGCATGTCACTTTACTCCCTTGTCTCTTCATGGAAGCTAGCGCATGGGTCTCCTTGATTAGATCAGGTAGTAGCCCTTGCATGCACAAGTTAGTTAATAGGCCTAATTAATAGCGGCGATTAGCTTAGATTTATTTCCAATTTTTTCTGTATGTTTTTCGTGGTCTTCCTGTTTCGGCTCATGGGCCCAATAAATCCAGCTGGAGGCTTCTTAAGTTTGCACACTCCTAATTATCCACAAACACTTAATCGCCCCATTGGTGAGTGACTCAACTTAACCTGTAAGAGGTCTGCGGTTCGATCCTTGGTAGGGGCATCTATTTTGTGAACTTTTACATCTCACGTGCAACCTTTATCAATGGGCCGCCCAGTCAAAGGGTGTCTTCAACGCCATATATGTTCGGGATGTATTTCAAAAAAAGACAATCTATCCTTTGTTATGAAGGGGTATCGAAGAAGAAGTGCTCAATATATACGATTTTATAGGGTACCTTTCAAGTGTACCAAAAAGTTCTTCGTTATACGCTTTTTGAAGAAATTAATATAGCTCCAATGTCCAAGCCTCCATCAACGAATATAAAGCTTACAATTTGAGCGGGATGGGATACATACCTTGTTTTCTCCGCTAAAATTTGATGGAAATGGGGCACAAACTACATCGCCCTCTTCAAAGAAACCTTCTTTGAATGCTCGGATTAGGAAACTAAATTTAACAAGCAGTACAGTTTTGTCTTCAGCTGATCAGTGGTTCCAGCTCCTCTGTTTGGTAGGAACCATGCTCGATATTCAGAATCTGCTACAGTTTTGACAAAGATTCACAAGATGTGTACTTATCTCGCACAAGTTTTTCAAATACAGCTTCTTGTGTAGATATTCATAATATCTCCATGGTTATTACTTAGATCATTTC